ACAATATCATTCAGTAGTCAAGCAAATGTCTAAGCTCCAGAAAGCCAAGGGCCGTGTCTTCTGGGCATTCAGTAGACTTTCAGAATAGAGGGTGCATTGAGACCAATGAGTGGGGGTTGACAAACAGCTTCACGGTCTTATTTATATTCATTCACTCATACGTTTATTTATTTATTTATTCTTCTCTCATACATTACATCTTTTTCCGAAGTTTCCCCTCCCCACACACCTCCCGGTCCACTGTTGTGCCACATGGCCCCTTAGAATCACAGCTTGTGGGAACTGAGCAAGCCATCAAGCCATTGGAGGGCTTCTGGTTTTTCTCCCTTAAGCCAGATCCATTCTCCTTCATCCTCTGTTTCAGTCTAGCTCAGCCCAGACTTGGGCGCCCCTGTCCTGCTTTCAGTCTCGGCTTCTGGTGTCAGCCCATCACCTTAGGGAGCAGCAAGCTCTGTGCTGTAGCAAAAGCCTGGGTCCCCCAGCAGCACGGCAGTGCTACAGTATACTGTCGTCCATGTGCCTTTCTCACACCTGCTTTGTCCTTGTTCTGTCCACCCACCTGTGCTACCACGGCCAGCCAGAAGCACTTACTGCTGTATTAATTGGTGGTGTATAAGATTTGCTGGGAAAACAGTTCTTTCAGCAAATGTGTTTAAGCTCTAAATGTGGTCAGTAAACTGTTTCTGAGAGGGGTTCTTAGCACACCCTCAGCTCTGGCCGTGGGTAGAGAATCGTAGAGAATCAAAACTGTTGTGTTTGAACTTCCTTTGAAATGAAACAGTGGTGCCCTGGAGTGACAGTCTCTGCGTTGTGTCCTGAGGAAGGGCTTCTCAAGGCTTCCACTTACTGTGGTCCTTTGGGATGATCTGGATTTTGAGATCTTATCTCTTCAGAGCTAAAAGACAGACTCTTCCAAGGTGGCTAGGTTAGTGGAAATAAAAGTCAGTGATTGGTCCACTGTGGAGGCACATGCCTTTAATCCCAGCACTCAGGAGGCAGAGGCAGGACTCTGTGAGTTCGATGCCAGCCTGGTCTACAGAGGGAGTTCCAGAGCAGCCAGAACCACATAGCGAGACCAGCAGGGACCGAGGCCTTTCAGGAGGTGTCCTGGCTTCCTTCCAGCAGTGACATCTCCTCTCTGTCCTCACTGGTATCAGAGTGCTCAGTCAGCACTCTGATGGTTCCAGCAATCTAAATGGTGCTTCCTTTGTTTGCTGTGCTCTTTGCACTTTGTGAAGATATTGTAATGACAAGCAGCACTACTTACCTTCCCCTTACAGTTACAGTTTGCATAAATGACAGTTGCATTTTCTTCACGACCCCAGGGGAGTGAGTGCTCTGTTCAGTTGTATGGAGGCCGGCCATCGGTGCTATCAGAAGATCATGTGGGCTGGAGGCCATTGTCTGTGCACATTGCCATTCCCCGACAATGGAAAGCTACAGGGAGCCAGCTGGCACTGCTGAACTCATACAGGCAGCAGGGGCTGCTCTATGAGTGATCCTGCAGTGGCCAGCTCCTAATAAACAAGGATCCCTTAGTTCCTCCTGTGTCGGAAATGCTCCAGGAAAAGGAATGGAGTCATTTAACAGATTCCACGCTGATCCTCCTGGGAAAATACAAACTGTTAGACAGATAAGAACCTCAGCATTTGGGAGATTCTAAGCTTGATTAATTTTTAGCACATTGGGCATAAAGACGAGCAGGGAGGACAATGTTTGAGCATCTTTGTACCCTCCAGTCAGCCTGATTTAAATTTCAACTTTCAGATAAGTTCTAGTTTTCCTCTTTGTCTATCAGGAGGTCACAGTCTTGCCCAAATTTAGTATTAATCATTGTGAAATTCTGTATTGAACACTTCAGGGTTTCCCTTAATGCAGAGGTCTCTGCTTATTGGGATAGACGCTGCATTACAGCCTTAAAATCTTACTCGGGGCCCTGTGTGGCCTCTGTGATGATGCAATACACAGTGAGGTCAGACTTGAAGAATCAAGACATTTCAGACCCATAGTTCATCAGGGAAGGATGACAGTCCCTGAGTGCCACTCAAGGGAATTTTCAGACAGTCTGGGGAGGCATCTGCTTTAAAAGCAATACTTTTCAAGCTTCTTGATTGTAAACCATAATAAAAAAAATATGCAGTTCATATTGTTGATGTACCCAGCTCCCAGATATGTATGCAAGAATGGAAGGTTTTCATTATCTTATTATTCATACTATAGAGATTACTTTATTTGTGTTAGCTGCCTTACAATCGACTACTTTTTTTGGTCTCATACAAATCACTTTGCTCCAATAAACTGATTTCATTAGGTAGGAATCCACAATTTAAAAACAAAAAGTCAAACCAACACCATTGAAGAGAACTGTTATTTGTTCCCTGAAACAGTTTTTCTTTCTTTCTTTCTTTTAAATATATTTAGTTGAATTCTGCTGAGCATATTTATGAACATAAAGATTTATGCCATAACTTACTAATAACAAATTCCACACAAAACTAAGCAGAATCTACAGCTCTTTGGGCTCATGTTCTTATTTGTCACGCTCCAGTCTCCTCCAGAAAGCTCCTGACCACTCCGACCATTGCTGCAAGGCAGCCAGTCTAGATGGAGTAAACATAACTCCTCCATGGTGACTTAACTATACTTTATAAATTCACACTTGTTAAGCCACAAAAACAACCTTTCAAAAGAAAATGGAAAGTAAGTCAAACTACCAAGTGAAAAAGAACAGCTTTGAAGACTTCCACTGGCCCCTTCAGCACAGTTTGCCCCGGACCATCCTAAATAAGGTCCTCACGAGGAACGGAGCTGTAAGCACTGCGTTCCATGCCTTGGGTGTCATCAGCCTTGCCTAACCAGGCTGCCTCAGTGCTAATCCTGGCCCCAGGAGCAAGGAGGATCAGAGAGCACCTTTGTTCCAAAGAAATTTAAGGTTTAGAGTGCCATTCAGAAGTGGCAGCCTTGTACTGCAAATTAAACATTTATATAAGGAGGCCCGGAAAGCCATACCTTTCCCCCCAGGGATACAAAGGAGAAAATGGCGCTCAAAGTGGGTTCAACAAGGAGCTGCAGGAGGCTTTTGAGCTATGCTGATTCTAAGAGGCTCAAATGAGTCAGTTTGTCCCACTGATGTGACAGATGGACAGCACTGCACATGAGTGAGGTAGCGGGTTTCTAAAATATGGAAGGAGAAGGGTTTGTTTAGTCCCCCGCTATGTCTAGGAAGAGCAAGTGCAGCTGTAGCTCAGGAAACTGAGGGTGTCTTTTTTGGGAGCACAGAAGAAATGGATCCTTTGGGTTAGAGCATAGGGGAGGGGCCAGTTGATTTGGGGGCAGAATAACAAATGTGACAATGGTAATATTTGGTGTTCACAGGAACCTGTATGGTGCCGTGACTGTTAGAAAAACAGTTCTCAAACTTTTTGGTCCATGTTGCTTTTCCACTTTAGCTTTTATATGTGGGTTACATCTGTCAATTTTCTTCCATTTTGGAAAGTAAAACTATTTTTACACAGCTATTGATTTGCAGGCCAGCAAAGGGGTACAGTGCGAAAAGGCACTTGCCACAAAGTCTGAAGACCTGACTGTGACCCAGGTCCCACATGATGGAAGAAGAGATGTGACTCAAAAATTGTTCTGTGATCTCTGTAGGCATACCATCATCTGTAGGCACACCAACACACACACACACACACACCACACACACACACAATGTAATTTTAAAGTTATTGATTTATTAATGTAAATATATCTTTTATGAAGACAACCTTTTTTTTCAATTTTTATTTGTATGTATGTGACTGCTATGCCTATGTGTGTGCCTGTGTGCCACATATGTGTAGTGCCCAAGGAGGCCAGAAGAGGGCAACAGATCCCAATGACCTGCAATTAAAAGGTGATTGTGAGTGGCTGGGAATCAAACTTCTTCTGCAAGGGCAGCAAATGCTTTTAACCGATGAGCCATCTCCCCAGCCTCAAGGCAAACATTTTAAAATTAAAGACCTTGTTTAAAAGATTTGTTTAAAAGGGAAGGGGGAGGGGAGGAAATCTCTTGAATGCTGGTTTAATGGATGGTACCTGTGTTCACATTCTACCTCCTCATACAACCTGTTATGATCTGTTGTTTTGGCTGATGTGTGTGAGGAGAATTTAGTTTACAGAAATGTGGATTTGCAAAAGAGAGGACCTCACAGGCTGTAGGGGGGCCTTCGGGAGCTGCAGGGCTTCCTGGGAATACACTCTGAGAACTGCTGGTTTGAAATTCTGTACAGTGAAGTCTGAGCAGTAGGATTGTTTGAGAGGTCAGCAGCTTTCATTTTTATTTACATTTGTTTGTATGCATTTCCTACATGGAGGGCGGATTATTTGTGCAACTGGGAGATAAAGAAAGAGCACATATTCAGAGGGAGGGGTTGGGAACCCTGGAAACCCAGGCAGAGCCTACATTTGGTAGCTGAAGGAGCCACACCATTTCTTGCACAGGGAAGTGATTTGATGGGAATTGTGTTTGGGAGGAAAGAAATTGGTGTGGAGGAGAGTATGAAGGAGAGAGGTCACACTGAAGCCGCAGCCCATACTGGGCCTGGCTGTACTCAGTCGTGGGGAAAATGGAGAGGAAGAGAGAAACAACAAAAGAGATTTGGAAGGCTGTGCTAAGATCTGGCTGGGAGAAGGAAGAGGAGGGTAAGGTCAACAAGGACTTGGAGGAGTTCTCAAGTTAAAACATTGGGAGGGTGATTTGTCCCTTCTGTCCTTCCTCACTTAGTCTGAAAAGGACTCAGACGGCTCATGAAGGCTTGTCCTGTCTTTCAGAGTTAGATCGCCCATCCATCCAAGTGCTTTGGAGGAAGTCAGCCCATCTCCCAACTTAAATTAGTCTGCACTGCTTCCAGAAGAAAAGGCAAGCTTTTTCCCATGACATCCTTGGACAAGAGCTTGGTGCTGACCTGCCCAGGGCCCTGAAAGTCTTGAAAGGGCCTCATCCTCATCCTTGTGCAGTAGCCTGAGGTCTGCCTCCTATGCACCCCAGCACCCCCATCAGCTCCCTCTTCTCCTTCACCAGCCCTGCAGTGAAGAGGCTGCTGGGCTGGAAGCAGGGAGATGAGGAGGAGAAGTGGGCAGAGAAGGCAGTGGACTCTTTGGTGAAGAAGTTAAAGAAGAAGAAAGGGGCCATGGATGAGCTGGAGAGGGCGCTGAGCTGCCCAGGCCAGCCTAGCAAGTGCGTCACCATCCCCAGGTCCCTGGATGGACGCCTACAGGTGTCCCACCGCAAGGGGCTGCCCCATGTCATCTACTGCCGAGTGTGGCGCTGGCCAGACCTGCAATCCCATCATGAACTGAAGCCCCTGGAGTGCTGTGAGTTCCCCTTTGGCTCCAAGCAGAAGGAGGTCTGCATCAACCCATATCATTACCGCCGAGTGGAGACTCCAGGTGGGTACACCCCCCTGTCCCTGCCAAGATCAACTATCACAGGTTCTGTGGTTGTGAAGCATCCACATGAAATGATCTCTGTATCAGGAGGGGCGGGGGTGGTGCACTGAAGCAATGGCACCAAAATCATGCAGTCAGAAAATTATACTAATCTTATACTAAAAGGCTTGTAAGCTTGGTAGGATTTTGGAAAATGCAGTTTTATTTGTGTGGATTTAGGAGATCTAGTTCTTTCTCCCTTCCTTCCTTCCTTCCTTCCTTCCTTCCTTTCTTCTTTCCTTTCTCTCTCTTCCTCTCTCCCTCCCTCCTTCCCTTCCTCTCTCTCTCTCTCTCTCTTTTTTTTTTTTCTTGTCTTTTCGGTGTTTCAAGACCAGGCTGGCCTCAAACTCACAGAGATCTGCCTGTGCTGGATTAAAGGTGTACGCCACCATGCCTGGGTATCCTTCCTAGTTCTTAACAGATTTAATGCCTTAATAATGGTTAACTATAAAAAATAGATACATTAAGCATCCTACCTTCTCCTACCCCAAGCCAATCGAAATCTATGACTATTAAAGTTAAACTAAAGAGTGGGTGTGGGCTCCATTTTGCTAATCCCATCTCAGTCTGAAACAGCCCAGGGGAATTGCTGAAGGAGTCCGGGACAGCCAGGGCTACACAGACAAATCCTGTCTCCACCTCCCGCCCAAACACACACACACACACACACACACACACACACACACACACACACTCACATACACACACGCACACACACACACAGAAAGAAATTCCCTCTGGGACTGGAGAGATGCTCGGCTGTTACAAGCACATACTACCCCTGCAAAGGACCCCATTTTGTTCCTAGCACCAGTGTTGGGTGTATCTTCCTAACTAGGGGATCTAACTCCCTCTGCGGTCATCTGTCTGCACATAGCCTCCGCACCACACACATAATTAGAAAATAAATCTTTCAAACGTGCTTTCTGAGTAATGATTCTAAAATGTACCTGGTTTTCCTTTAAAATACCTGAAAGCCCTGTATTAAAGAATTTTTGAGTTTCCATTTTTTTTAATTTCAGTTTAGGTTTCTCTTAACATGACAGTCTGAATATTTCATGTAGGTAGATAGTTTTTATGTCCTTAATTGTAGGTTTAATTTTCTAAAAAAGATGGGCCAATATTATATTAATTTAAAAAATCATCTATAATATTAATTTTAGATAATATTCTTGCCACTCCTAACACCTTTGTAAGAGAATGAAGTGATTTTCCTTATAGGAATTTGAGCTGAACCTGACCTGAAACCCTTCTCCCTGAGGGCTACTTCTCAGCATCTGAAGGTATTGTGCAAGCTTCTAGGGAGAAAAGTGGTCCTACACAGCTGCAAAGCTGTGGGCCAGCAATAAGCACCCTGGTAAGATATCCCCAAGGGTACAATAGTGGCACTAACATCTTAGAGGTAACCAACAGCTGTCTAATTTGACAGCCCACTAGAACCTCAAGTTGTGACTATGTATGATCAGACCTCTGCCCTCAGCATTTTCAGGATCCTATGTGGTCCTCACATGTTTCCAGGAAAACTGGGGTTCCATCTTTTGGGTTCTTAATCTCATTAATAAAATAATTTAGGAACAGGCTTGAAAAAAAAATCAGTATGCCAATTATCTTAGACTAAGTTTGAATGATAAGCAACAGAGGGAGTCTGTCAGCCTTGGTAGCTGACTAGAGGAGGGAGAGTTATGCTTTTCTGAGGAATTCAGAAAGGCAGGGAGCTCCATAAAATGAGCTTATGTTCATTTTAATGAGTCGAAGCCAGGCTGGCACAGGCCTCTAACCCCATCTACTTGGTCGGAGTTCTGAGGCAAGAGAATGCAAGTTCAGTGCCTGCCTACATTACACAGGAGGCTGAAGGTCAGCTAGCCTTGGTAACTTAGGGAGGCCCTATCTTGTTTTTTTTTTTTATTTTTGTTTGTTTGTTTTTGTGTTTTTGTTTTGTATTTGTATTTGTTTTTGTTTTTTTGAGACAGGGTTTCTCTGTATTGCTTTGGAGCCTGCACTGGAACTAGCTCTTGTAGACCCTATCTTAAGTAAAAAGAGAGCTGGATGTGGCTCAGTGATAGAACACTTGTTTAGCCCACAGGTTCCATCCTAGTACTTCAGAGATGGCAGGAGGCCAGAAGGGACCCACTAACCCAAACAAATTTAACTGACAGGTTTTTCCTGTTGCCTCTGACCTTTTACCTCATTTCTTCGCTCATTACTTGTATTTTACTTGATGGCTTTTGGTCACTTGCTTTTAGATCATTGTGGTAAGGACACGGATTATTTCAGCAGCAGCAATGAGTCTGAAATTGAGGCTGATTGTCTAAATAATTCAGTATGGTCTCTAATGGAAAATATTCTGGGCTTCACCTAGGGTTTGGTTGCAAGTGTTTAGAACTAACTATGCCTCTTTTAAAGAGGACTTTATTGGCAGAGTTGAAGAAAGATATAGTCAGATGCATCTCCCTAAAGTCAACAAGATGGGTTTCCATAAAGTCGATATGAGGCCATGGGAGCTTCCTGAACTTGGTTCCTGACTGTCTGCTTAAGATGCAGGTGGCAAGAAGCAGGGCTGGTGACTGAGGATAGCCCACAGACTCCTGAGTAGAGATGAGACCTACATGCACAGTTTCCCATGAGCCAATGTGTGGAGAGGGGGCTGGCAGAAGGAAATATCACAAATGACCAAGGGAAAGCATTTGTTGTCCCACTCCATCCTGATGGGACAAGCTCTCGGGGTGATCTCTCTCATTCTCTTTGTCCTAGTTCTGCCTCCAGTGCTGGTACCAAGACACAGCGAGTACAACCCCCAGCTCAGCCTCCTGGCCAAGTTCCGAAGTGCCTCCCTGCACAGCGAGCCCCTCATGCCGCACAATGCCACCTACCCGGACTCTTTCCAGCAGCCCCTCTGCCCTGCACCACCCTCCTCGCCAGGCCACGTGTTTCCTCGGTCTCCAGGTCCCACCAACTACCCACACTCCCCGGAAAGTCCTTCCGAGTCAGACAGTCCATTTCAACACTCAGGTCAGTCTGTGGAAGTGGGACCCACGTGGATGTTCCTAAGTGTGGTGTTGCATCTAGCTTGCCTGTGGCACCTTTAGGTTTACAGCGCCTTCCCTGGGCCTGGCCCATCTAACCCACTACCCTCCAGAATGACAAGGTTGGGACCCATTTTGAAGTAGAACTGCAGATACATATTTTTGGATCCAGTCCTCTTTCAGAAACTAAATAGAATTTAACACTGTCCCTGGAAATTTACAGAATATGCGATTAGTGTTTGTTTTGAAACATGGTCTGCTTTTAGATTAGGCTGGCCCCGCGAACCCACAATTCTTTTGCTCCAGCTTCCCTAATGCTGGACTTACAGGCATATGCCACTTTGTTGAATGTAGAAGTAAGATTAACATAGTGATGTATGACAAACAAAAAATTAAAAATTTAAATGCTACAAAAAAGGACTGGTTAGATAGCTCAGCAGATAAAGGCACTGCTAAGTTAGCCTGCCAACCTGAGTTGCATCCCCAGAACTTACGTAAAGGTAAAAGGAAAGAACAGACTCCACAAAGTTGTCCTCTGACCTCTACACACATATCCTGCATACACAATAATAACTAACTAACTAACTAACTAACTAACTAACTAAATAAATAAATAAATAAATAAATAAATAAATGAGAGCAGGCAATAGGGGACTAAGTAAGGCTTTTGTTTGCTTGCTTCTTTGAACAATAAAAAGGCAGGTATCTTTTGCTCCAAATGCCATGTGCATGGCCTCAGTGGTGTGCAGAGCTAGGCTGCCAACATCAGCTGATACATTCTCTTCTCTGAAGCCAAGACAGCAGTTGAAGGTAGTGAGTACTTCTGGAGCTTAATTTGGGATTGAAAAAGCATATGCAAAAGAGAGGGACGCTCTAGTGTGTCTTCATGCTATGTGTGCTATAACACCTGTGAAGCTGGCCAAAGAAGAGACATGAAGAGGATATATATATATATATATATGTATATATATATATATATATATATATATGAGCTTCTTAAGTGTGAGATTAACAATATCTGGAGGGGACAAGTACCCAAGGCTTGCATATATACAGCTGACACCCACAGTTACAATCTGCCTCACCCTTTTATTCATAAGCCCTATTTAATGAATATTTATTAACTCTCACAAAGTAAACAAATAAATAAAGCCTTGCCCTAGGTTGCTGAGAAAGAATTAAGAGATTAACAAAAATTATCCTTACTCTCAAAGAACATATAAGATGTGGTGAGATAAGAGACATATTCCTTCAAAGTGTCTTTAATGTTTTTCCCTTAACAAGACCCTTATACAGCTTGTTCATATGTATCACCTTGTATTATGTCATCCCTCTCCTCTGTCTCCAACAGAGAGCCTGAAACACCTGTCCATTCATTACTCATTGCACAGAGAATTTCCCTGCATGTGTTTGAAACTTAGTATTAGGGCTGGTGGTTAAAGGACAGGATAATTATAAGATACATATTTGTCTAACACACACCTGTGTTATAAAAATTCGCCTATACTGACTGCATTCTGCCCTGTTACCATTTGACCTCCTTCCATCCATGGGCAGACCCTAGCAAAGCTGAGAAGCCAGCTTTCCTTAAAATACACTTATATGTAAATGGATGGATGTCTGTGTGTTTCATAGAGGAGAAAGTGGGCCTGTCTATGTAGATTTTTTTCTTCAATAGAATTCATTCAGGGCTTTCAACGTGGTTTGTTATATTCAAACTATTTTTTTTTAAAATCATTATGTTACTGTGGAATTACACCTTTTCACATAGCTCAGTTCTGTAACAACAGGACCTTGTCCTTCTCTGGTAAGGATGGGGTGGCCTGCCTCCTAGCGCCTAGCTGTGTTTACTCTGAGACTGGCAACATTTTGCATCAGTCTGTTCATGCTGCCTTTTTCCCTGGTCCTTCATTATATCACATCTGTAAACAGAAGTGTTTATAGATGCCCTAGCTGTGGAAAATTAACAAGGACCATGGCCTTAGACTCATGGGTGCAATAAACAAATGTGCTAGCCTCAAACAGCTTCCGTCAAACATGCATGTTTGAAGGATTGCAAAGGATTGCAAAGGAAGGCATGCATACTTGGTCTTAACAGCCAGCTTTGTGGTTTAAAGCTTTCACTTCTGTTTTCTGTTGGAATCATGAGCTTCAGAGCCCAGAGGTGACAGTGATGCGGTGCCTTTTCTCTCTTGTTTTCTTTCAGACTTTCGGCCAGTTTGCTACGAGGAACCCCAGCACTGGTGCTCTGTAGCCTACTATGAACTAAACAACCGGGTTGGAGAGACTTTCCAAGCGTCCTCCCGGAGCGTACTCATAGACGGCTTCACTGACCCTTCCAATAACAGGAATAGGTTCTGTCTTGGGCTGCTTTCAAATGTAAATAGAAACTCAACAATAGAAAACACCAGGAGGCACATTGGAAAGGGTGAGCGCCCACACAGCATGGCCCCGTCGCCATCACCGCTTCTGAGCCAAAACTCCAGCTCAGAAATCAGCATTGGTCCTTGGGAAGACCCTAGGGCACGAAGTCATGTTCTCTTGGGGTCTGTTTGCCTCTAAAGTCAGTAGGCCATCTTCAGGGGGTGACATGGGCTGAGTGACGTGAGGACAAGACATAGTAAAGAGCCAGTATCCCAGGCCTGTAATCCCAGTGCTGGCACCCCAAGTAGAAGCAGTAGGGCAGGGCTAATTGATCTGTATTGAAATGCAAATTGATCCCCTCTTTAGCCTGTGGCTGAGTGAATGCTGTGTTTGAAAGCCCCACCCCCTCACCAGGTGCCTCCAACGCAGGCTCAGCCTTGAGGACAGACCTGCCCTGAGGTGATCTTGACACTGACCAGGGGTTCAAAGTCACTGTATTTGCCTATGTGATGGACGGGCCAAATGGAATCACGTGACCACGTACTCCTTCTGAAGGTGCTGCTGTCTCTAGCCAGAGGCCAGCCTGCTGCTGGATTTGGTCTTCACGTGTCAGTCAGCCTTGGGCTCTGTTTCTTCCTCTAGGGACCCACCTTCCCACTCTCTCCTCTGCCAACTTGTGCCTGGTTTGCCGATAAGGCTTTAACTCGAGGGAAAACCACCCCCTAAATACAGGCTCAGGTGACAAAAATCTTATCTATTGTATGCAGTAAGCTCTGGAAGGATTATGCACTTGAAGGTCATTCAGGTAAAATCCCCAGGAGCCTGTAGCGGCTTCCCTCGGGCTCTCCGGTGTGTGGAAGTGGTCTCTGCGGTTCTCTTCAGCTGTGGCAGACAGCACACAGTGCAGAGGAACTATCAAAAGGCAGAGATGGGTGAGATGGGTAGTGTGGCCCACCGTTCTCAAGTGCAGGGAGTGCACAGGGAGGTGCCAACGTCCAAGGCAGAGCCCAAGGTGACACTGAAGCTCAGAGAACCCTGCTGCCTCACCACTTTCCCTGGGGTAACCCTCACTCACTGACAGAGCGGTCCCCCACCCCCAGCTTGCACTTGACTTTGCCCTGGCCTCCGTTGCCTTCTCTTCTGCAGAGCTTTTCGAAAGTTGGCTAATTATCAAGATTGTCTGGAGCTCTGAGCAGTGCTGAACGGACTGCTTTGAGCTCAGCTATACAACTGAATGTCCCATCACTGTCAGTCACACTGCTTGGAGAAGGCCCAGGGCAGGCACTGCATTTCAGCCAATCAGAGCCATCCTTCTGCTTCCTGGTCACCAGTGCCTGAGTTGTGAGTGTCAGGCCTGATGCCCTTCATGGAAGAAAATAGGGAGGAAAGCTGAGGGCAAGTAAGAGAGAAGAAAAGAGGAGAGGGACGCAGTGGGGAGTGGATTTTGTTTGAGTCTTGCCTATTTCCAATCATCTCCAGTTCTATCAATTTTATAATCTCATACATGTTTACCGCTGAATAAAATACCATTGTGCGTGTGTGTGTATGTGTGTGCGCGCGCGCGCACGCGCGCACGCACGTGTGTGCAGTACTCTTATTTATCCAGGATGTCCTTTTGAAATGGAATTCCAGGAATGTCAGAGAAACAGAGACAAGCTACATGTTGCTTGTGTTTTCACATGACTGTGTATCCTGTGAAGTATGGTAGGAGCACCCCTGTTCTCAGGAGCATGGTGTGACTTGCCTCTGAAGTGAGATACATCTCTGAAGCCTCTGCTCACAGAAATATTTTAGTTTTGAGTCAGGGTCTCACTGTGCAGCCCTGGCTGGCCTGAACCCTATGTAGGCCAGGCTGGTCTCTCAACTTCGCCTGCCTCTGTGTCCCAAGTGCTGGCATTGAAGGCGTGTGCCACTACACTGGACCTCAAAGAAACAGATTTGTAATTGTTAGTAATTTCTGGAGTAGGTCTAGTGTGTGGATTTCAGTAGCATTGACATAATATTAACTGGACTTCTTATTATAGTGTTTCGTTTATATGTGGGTATGAAGGACTTTGGGGGTTTTGTTTTGTAGGATGTGTTTCTTTTTGTCTAGGATTATGGATTTTTTTTTTTTTTCTCGAGTGAGAGCAAAAGTGGCGGGAGCAGTAAGAAGAGAGACTATGGACTCACCTTTTTGTTTTCTGTTCTGTTTTGTGTTTCGAGACAGGGTTTCTCTGTATTACTTTGAAACCTCTCCTAGAACTAGCTCTGTAGACCAGGCTGGCCTCGAGCTCCCGAGATCCACCTGCCTCTGCCTCCGGAGTGCTGGGATTAAAGGGTGCGCCACCAACGCCCAGCAAGACTGTGGACTGATTTTTGAGAGTGTCCATTCACATGGGTTGGGCTTAAAGTTTGTCCCCCCCCCCTTGGTGCTGGAGAGATGTCTCTGCGAGTAAGAGCACTGACTGCTCTTCTAGAGGACCAGGGTTCAATTCCGAGCAGCCACGAGGCAGCTCGCATTTGTCTGTAACTCCAGTTCCAAGTCTTCTAACATCCTTACACAGACATACATGTCCCCAAAACACCAATGAACACTAAATAAAAATAAATTTATTTTTTCTTTATTTTATATGTATGGGTGTTCCCCCTGCCCAGTATGTAGGTACACATACATACCATGTATATGCAGTGCCCATAGAGGCCAGAAGAGGGCGTCAGATCCTCTGGAACCAGTTCATTGCAGATTGTTGTGAGCAGCAGTTTGGGTTTTTAGAGCTGAGCTGTCTGACTCTCTGCAGTCCTCGGGGTTGAACTTTTTAATGGATTTGTAGGAAAAGTCAATGGAAACATGGGTATTTGGGGCTCACACCTTCTCCTTCTATGACCAGTGGTAGATGAAGAGTTAACCTGACTGCAGAGGGTCCTGCCGCTTGAGGTGGCGGGCGGGCGTCACTGAGAAGGGAGCAGAGTAGAAAGAGTGTGGTTTTTGTGCCCACAGGTGTGCATTTGTACTACGTTGGGGGCGAGGTGTATGCGGAGTGCGTGAGTGACAGCAGCATCTTTGTTCAGAGCCGGAACTGCAACTATCAACATGGCTTTCACCCCGCCACCGTCTGCAAGATCCCCAGTGGCTGCAGCCTCAAGGTCTTCAACAATCAGCTCTTCGCCCAGCTGCTTGCCCAGTCAGTGCACCACGGCTTTGAAGTCGTGTACGAGTTGACTAAGATGTGCACGATTCGGATGAGCTTCGTGAAAGTAAGGATGCTGGCTTTGGGATTATAAAATGGAAAATGGGAAGGAAGCTCAAAATGCTCCCGGCTTGACATGGCATTTGCTCAGCCAACTCAGACAGATGACGACTTTGTTTTTTCTTGTTCTCTCTCCGTCTCTCTCTCTCTCCCTCCCTCCCTCTCTCTCTCTCTCTAAGTTACCTAGTCCAACTTCTGCTGCCCATATATTCCTAAGTGTGGGACCACCCAAAGGAAATAGTGTGGTTGGGGTCAACCTTCCAGTGCCACTGCCTTAAAGAAAGCTGGGTCTCCCTAAAAGCCATCAACTGTCTTTAGTTAAGGCTGGGGATTCATGAACCACCTGCTCCATCAGAGAATACTCACACTCTCTCTGTCTCGCTCATTAATACCTCTATCTATCTATCTATCTATCTATCTATCTATCTATCTATCATCTATCTATGGAGAAGCCCTGCCTCACTATATGCAGTTCTGGCTGCCCTGGAACTCACTTTATAGACAAGATTAGATAGAAACTCACAGGGATCTACCTGCCTCTGCATTCTGGGATTAAAGGTGTGTACCATGACAGCCAGCTCTTTTAGGGGTGATGTTATTAACAGTTTATAGGAAGGTATAAATATGGACTGACTTATTAAACAATCATCTGAAGTTTTTACACTCTACCTGAGGAAGAAAACCAAATTTAAGTAACAGTGTTTGGATGTGAAGATTCAAGGACAGTGATGATAGGATGGAGTGCAGCAGAGATTTTCCCATCTTTCCTCTTGCCAGGCACTGCTGTCACTCAGTAAACGGCTAAGAGCCTCCTTTCAGTTGGGAAAGCTGCCAGGCAAATGTAGGGAATAAATTTATAGATGAACTACAAGAGAGGACTGTCTCTACTCTAAGACAGCAGTGCTCATTGTTGGGACAGAAGCACCGGAGAAGATCTGAGTAATTCAGGGAATTTACTCAGATATTTAAAAATCTGTATTCAAAGTCTGTGGTGTATATAATAGCTTTCACAGTGGCAAATACCCCACTTAGGGGAGGAGTGTGGCTTCGTCCAGAGCTCTTGCATTTTCTTTGTAATTTATTTTTATTTCATCTGTATGGGTATTTTGCTTGCAAGAGTGTACCACATGCGTGCAGTGCCAAAATGGCCAGAAGATGGCAGCATACACCCAGAAATGTAGTTACATGAGCTAGTGAGCTGTCATGTAGGTACTGAGAATTGAACCCAAGTCCTTAACAAGAGCAGCCAGTGCTCTTGACCACTGAGCCATCTCTCCAGGCCCCACTTGCCTTTTTAAAAACAGTTTTTGGAACAGAACGGGGCTTCCTGAAGTGAGTTAGGTAAGTGAGCTACATTCCCAGCCCAAGTTTTATTACTCATGTAAAGTTAGTTACCCATAGCCAGGTGGTGGTTGTTGTTCTTTTGCTATAATTATTGCCTAAGAAACACAAACATGAGACTCAGTGCCCACATGAGCACTGAGGGGAGAGAAAGGGGGTAGCTGGTGGTCAACTGAAAGCAGGGGAGAGAGAGAGAGCAGAGAGAAAGAGCAAGAGAGAGCAAGAGGGGGGCAGAGAAAGAGAGAGGCGCGGGCTTGGCGCCTTTAATCCCAGTACTTGGGAGGCAGAGGTAGGCAGTTTCTTTGAGTTTGAGGCCAGCCTGGACTACTAAGTGAGTTCCAGGACAGCCTGGGCTGTTACACAAAGAACCGCTATTCCCCCACCCCCAACCCAGCAAAAGTCTTAAAGGGACTTTTTATATTTAAGAGCTTTATTCATCTTTGACTTTCAAAGCCATAAAGAAACCCCTGGAAAATTTCCAGCACACTGCTGCTTTGGAGCCAGCAGGGGGCATTAACTCGATGTTACTGAACTATGCCTTGAGTGGGACAGTTATTTTTCCTGAATCCATGAATTTAATGAGGACGAGTTGTGAATGCCTCATAGGTAATTACTTTAATACAAGAATGCATAGAAATATGATCATTTCCCAACATGAACTAAATGTTCCTTAGCTATGTAACAAATTTATAGAGCTACAAATTTTAATTCACAGAAAACACACTGCCACTGCTGTTATGAACTCTCCTGAAACCTCCTTCCTACTCCCTCCTCCCAGTGATGATGAGGAAGAAACTCAGGGGCTTGAACAGGCTAGACAATGCTTTAGCACTGAGATTCGTAGCTAGTCCTGTGAGGACTTAAACAAAATAAGAACTGTCAATGATTAGTTTAAAAATTTACAGACACTAGACACAGGTGTCGATCATTGTAAGTAAAAGAGCAGATCATCTTTTCTTTTCTTTCTTTCTTTTTTTTGGAGACATGGTTTCTCCGTATTGCTTTGGAGGTTTTCCTGGAACTATCTCTGTAGACCAGGCTGGCCTTGAACTCACAGAGATCCACTTGCCTTTGCCTCCTCAGTGCTGGAACTAAAGGTGTGAGCAGATCATCTTTGAAGTTTTTTTTTAAAGCTTTGATTTTACTGGCCTCAGCTCTCCTACAATCAGCCAGTCAACAACTATTTGTTGAGCAGGTGCCAGTGCTTGGCCAGGTGCAGCCTTGGGCATTGGGATGGTATATCATTGGTCATTCACAGGCTCTGCCTTGTGCCACCAGTGTATTGGCAGAGAAAGACAGGCAGCATGCAACAAGCAGTGAAATGAATCAGATAAAGGAAAATAGAGAGGTTACAGATGGGGAGGCGTCATGGACGCAATGTTTGGTAGCAGAGGCCAGAATTCCATGGCTGCTACAAGCCTGGATATGGAAGGGAAGCAGGGCTGGGTGACTGCAACATTGTGCTGGGGTGGGGGGTGTTGGGGGGTGGGATGAGGTGAGTGGGTGCAAATGAGATGGGAGCATTTCCTGAGAGTCAAGCAGCGTTCAGCACTTTGTGATGCTTGGAGACATTGGGCAGAGAGGTGTCAGGGTCTGACTTGTTATTTTGTTTGTTTGGGGACAGGGTCATTCCGTGTAACCCAAGCTGGCCTTGAACTCTACATCTTCCTGCTTCATTCCCTGTCCTGCTGGGGTTGCAGGCATGAATCACCATACCCAGCTTGTTCTGTCTTTAAAGGACTATGTTAAGTGAAGAAAGGTGTGCTACAGTGAGGTGGAAAGGGAAAGGCTGCTAAGAAGGCATGGCGGGGATAGAGAGGATGACCAGGGTTAACAGCACTGGCTGCTCTTGCAGAGGACCTGGGTTCAATTCCCAGCACCCATATTACACCCAGCACCCAATAACAAGCCCAAGCCACCCGCCAACAGTTTAATAAGTAATATAGTGTCTGTGTGTTTATTTGGGGCTGAGAAGGGCAGCAGGACCTGAAGGGACAAAGAAAAACCACCCACAACAATTTAATGTATATAGGTGTTTTGCTTGTTCGCATATCTATGCACTGTGTGTGTGCAGTGCCTGTGGATGCCAGAAGAGGGTGTCAGATCCCCTGGAACTGGAGTTACAAATGGTTGTGGGTGCTGGGAGCCAAACTTTGGTTCTGTGCAAGAGCATCAGTACTCTTAACCACTGAAGCATCTCTCTAGTTTTTAAACAACACTGAAGTACTATAGTTGTCAATAATAAACATAATCTGAAATCCCTCCTTAATGCTTAAATAACTTTCCATTGACGAACAACAGATAAATATGAACATCTACCATCTATGTATCCATCATCTACCTGTGTGTTTATCATCTATCTGTCTGTCTATCTATCTATCTATCTATCTGTCATTTTAGTAACTGTCTATCCTTCTAATGGAGATAAATGGGTAATTTCTGAGTAAGCCTGAGACAGAAGAGAAATAAGCTCTAAGCTCTAACATTCCATCTTCCAAATCAAGAGTTACTGATTTTTGCAACTTTTAGATCCAGCCTCAGGTCTTTAGTGAGTAGCAGTTTTTTGTGAACACAGGCTTTCACAGGAAGAGTGAGTGGACCATGATGTTGAGCCCATTTCCTTGTGAAGGGGAGATGGCTTGATAGTGTCTCCCACGGGATGTGTAGAGTCCCAGATCACCACTAAATAGGTGTCTGACTGTAAGTGAGCTAACAGAGAACACCCTGACTGACCTGGACCCTTCTGAGATATCTGCTCCATGGAGGCATCCACTTCTCACAGGAAGCCTGTGGACCCTGCAACCCCTGTGCTCTGCCTGGTGACTTCTGGCAAAGGGGCACAATTCAGTCTGGGCTTGTAGATGGAAGTTTCTGTTCTGCCTAGTCCCGAAGCTCTTTAGTCCCAAATAAACACACAGAGGCTTATATTAATTATAAACTGTTTAGCCAATGGCCAAGGCTTCTTATTGACTAGCCCACTCTTAATTATTAACCCATATCTATAAATCTATGATCTCTACGTGGTTTTGGCTTACCAGAGAATTCCTGGCATCTTATCTTCCCAGTAGCTACATGGTGTCTCCCTGTCAGCTCTTTCTCTTCCCAGCATTCTCCTAATCTGGTAGCCCTGCCTATACTCCCTGCCTGGCTACTGGGCAATCAGTGTTTTATTAAACCTGTAAGAGAAACATATTCACAGCACACAGAAAGGCATCCCTCATCATGGGCTCTTTCCTTGCTTTGCAGGGTTGGGGAGCCGAGTATCATCGTCAGGATGTCACAAGCACCCCCTGCTGGATTGAGATTCATCTTCATGGACCACTGCAGTGGTTGGACAAGGTTCTAACTCAGATGGGCTCCCCACATAACCCCATTTCTTCAGTGTCTTAACAGTCATGGCATCAGCTACTCGTCCACAGAACAGTTGTAGGCAGTGGCTTCTGTCATTTGAAATGGAAGTTTCTGGATGCAGATGTAAATACATATAATGTATATTATTCACATTTTTATCACCATTTGATTTGCGCTGCCTAGTTAACCTGGGGCTATCCCTGTGTGGTTCAAGGACAGTGTTTTCCAGGCCAATGCTAGAATGTCTTCTGTGAGAGGGGAAACAGTATGTAAAGGGCATTGGCAGAATCTGAGGCCACTTCAGTCACTGTACAGGATGTTGTGCCCCCGATGAAAACACAAAGCTGCTTATATTTAAAAAATGAAAAAGAAGAGAGAGAGAGAGATAAACCCAAAACAAAAGCAAGCAAACAAGAAGGACGGGGTTTAGGAACACTAGAGCAAAACCCAATCAAATCCACATAGCTTTAAAAAAAAAAATCTCACTTTCAATGTGAATGGCAAGAAAGAAATCAAACCTTCAGTGATCTGTGAGATAAGCCTACTTTATCTCTGAAGCTGAAATATGCACAGTCAGGTACTGAGCTGAAGTCAATGGTACATTTAAACAGATGGAAACTGTGATTGGAAAGGGAGAAACTGTGAAGCCTGAGTCATATAGCCACTGCTTAAAAATACGAGGATAATAAGGGGCAGGGGGAAGCACCGGAGATGAGCCATAGTGACAGGGTTAGTCCAGAATTCAGTCCTAGCAGCACAGGGGACTCCTGCTTCCGCTCTGGAAGTCAGGCTCCAGTCTTCCAGTTCTCCCTGTCAGGTGACCTTGCAGATGGCTGTGTCTGCCTGGGGACACTGTGTGCACAGTTGAGGCTGTAGAATGGAGGGTCGTGACAACATGCACGGTCCAACATGCTCATACCGAAGCCTCCAAGGCAGGGCACCCTTTGCCACATCTTTCCTCCTGGTGACAGATATCAGTTGGTTACGATGATTAAAACAACAGCAAAGCCTCAGGGGCAATCTAGAGCCATCTTTGGATCATATTTATATATGGTTTAGCCTGGCACCTGTGCTGATTAGTTATTAGCTGGTTACATTCTGACAATCTCTTCTAAAGCTATGAAACAGCTATAAATTCCCCAAGTGAGGTGGGAATGTTTCATATGTGCTACATTTTTGAGGAAACAATGGTAGAGAATAATAAATCATCTTTAGAAATATCTTATGTATACACATGCATATGTCAGTGTGCATGTATTATTAAAGTCTGCTGTTTCCTTCTTTGTATGATAAAGGGAAATTTCCTCCAGGTATGTGCCTCTCGATCACTGCATTGCTTGTAAGTTTACTTCATGCCCTTTGGGAAGCGCATTATTTAAGATGGCTTTTATGCTTGTAATGGATAGAGTTCCTATAATCTGAGTTTCCTTCATTTAATCTATTCTGCCTAGCATCAATGCACATGCATTTGTTTCCCATTCAATTGTATTTAAGATAGATATGATGTGACAAGTCACACTCACATGCCTACTGTATCTATAAAACCTATCACATATATATCATAAACATATATGATATAGACATATCAAAAGATACTTATTTCTCACATTAAAGCCTGGAAGCCCACTTAGAGCATAGAAAACCCCAAGCTCATTGATTCATTAGGTCTGTCTTGAGCATTTGTGTGTACCAGGTGCAATGTTAGGTGCTGCTGAATCAAACGTACGTTGGAGTCTGTCCCCACCTCCAGGGAGCTGCAAATCTAACAGTAAGCATTTGCACAGACATCAGGTCTCAGAACTCATAAAACCCACACATGCCAATTTTCTTGGGCTTGAAAAGAATATAATCAAGTTCTTATTATTACTGTATTGAAATTTTATGTCTTTTAGGAACAATTAGGTAATTCATCTTTGCATAAGTGCCACTTTTATTCCTCACCATGACACCTCTTTTCATCCCTGTATTTCTGGTAATTCTTCCAGCTTCTTCCTTGGAAAAGTCATTTCTACAGCAGATCTCTGAGTCCTTGTCCCAGATTTCTCACAGCCCTTTTGATCTCTTCCCAAGTGGGAAAAGATTGCCTCTGGCAATATGTAGCCTTATCGAACTGTCAGAGGTAGAGGTAGGTGGGTCTCTGTGAATTCAAGGCCAGCCTGGTCTAGATAATGAGTTCCAGGACAGCCAAGGCTATATAGTGAGACCCTGTCTCAAAACAACAGTAGAAGCTTACAAAACAAAACAAACCATTTAGATTTTCCTTGCAGTATTAAGGCAGACAAAATATCAAAGTGTGCCTGGTTTCTTTGAAAAAGGAATCATGACATAGGTACATATGTATCATCAGAGAATTTCAGCATTAAACAGATGTTAGCCTTCTGCTCATGTAACACATTTTAAATAGCTCCCAGTCCTAGCTGCTAAGAGGTCATAATATAACACTAGACTTCAGACCCCTTTGACCATTTGGCATGCATTCCATGAAACAGACAAGCAAAAACAGGCTGTGTAGTGTTGCTTTACAGGATGAGGAGGAAAGTGGGCAGGCCACGTCTTTCCACATCATTGCCCTGGGTAGGGTCATACAATGGAGAACGGCACCAGTTTGCCTTGCCCACAAGACGCTGGATGTTTATTGCCATGTTGGAGTCAGTATTTGTGTGAGTCTTAACCAAAATAAGACATGATTAGTTTGTTCCAGCTAGATGGTAATGTTAACAGCTGCTCCAGAGCTAAGAAACTGCCACCGCACACGCACACACACACGTATAGTCAGCCAAAGTGGCAAGCTTCCTAGCATTTAGAATTCTCTTTTCATTGTCTTCTAAGGATCGAGTTATCCCCATAATGGCAACAGAAAGAACAACAGCATAAGCATTTTATAAACATTGCTGGATGTCAAGCTCCTGCTTAATGCTGAATGAGTTCCAGATATTCCATGTATATATTTAATAAAGCAAGATATACCATGCAGTCCACATCATCTTACCTGCTAGGATTCAACAGCTGAACTGTACAAGGGTAGCTCGCCCTCACATATGTTAAAGATAAATTAAAAAATGAATATAAAACAGACCTCCAAGAGCAGGCTTTGGTCCAGAAGCCTAGCTTTCTGTCCTGGAAATGCCATACATCATTATCTGGTGGTTTATGGTAGAGACCTTTGGGCTCAATTTTCTTCAAACTTTAAGTAACAATTTGTTATGAGACTTCCCGCTCAGTTCCGCAGCCATATTGCCCCAAATGAACACCCAGAGACTTATATTAATTATGAACTCCTTTTACAACAATTCTATGTTTATGATCTATAGTTCCTTAAGATGCTTAATCATAAGCTGTCCTACTTGGAAAGTAGAATTTTAAAGAATTCTTCATGCTGTAAAAACATTGGTCACACTTTTTTTTTAACATCTTGGAATAACTGGCATTGTATGTGTAATTTTAAGGATATTTTGCAGACATTGTGGAGATGGTTAACAGCTTCTCGCCAAGCCATAACTAAATAAACCCTTTGTATGGTGAAGTTTTGGAAGTAAAAAGTGAATTAAATACTCATCATCAGTTGAGCATCTTACCTTAGTAACTCAGCACTATGCATGTTAGTCAAGGAACATCTACATACAAGGATTAGCATGTGATATGTAAGGAAAACTCACTAAAAGTCATTTATTTTTTCATATGCCATGAAATATGTATAATTGAATAAAATGTTTTCTAAGAGAAAGGTGTGCAATTGCAGATGACTGTGAAGTGTTTGCAAGTTGCTTTTGTTTTCCCTGCCCCAAGTTGTCCTACTGATTCTAAACTTTATAGCTGCGAGCTGGTTGGGTTTCAGAAAACCTTGGTAAGGGGCAGAGACTATACAACTTAGAGTCAGTACTGTCTGTCTTAGAATACCGGAGAATGCCTTTTAAACTGAGTAATATACATTCTTACAGTTAAAAGTATTTTTGCTTGTGGTTTAGTGGCTTGGCATACAAGCTAATATTCTCACAGAAAACAAAAAGCAAGCATTTCTAGGCAGGCAATACATAGAACATGAGTTAAGCCCTCCTGCCTTACGGCTGTTTAAATACCACAAGACAATATTATTTCAGAGTTCTGAAAGCCGCAAGTCTGAAACCAGTCTCTCTGTGCCAATGTAAGGTGCTGACAGCACTGAGTCTGGAGACACTAGAGGGGAAAAAAAAAAAGTTTTTCTAGATCTTGGGGGCTTGGTACATTTCCCTTTCCTTGAAGCCTCCAGAATCCTGTGCCCATCCACCACCTCATCTACTTCTTACAGGGTAAGAGCTTACTATGTAGTCTTCACTATCTTCTCTACCGGAGTTAACCAATTTTAAAATTTGTTATCTGGTGAAAAATAACTACTAAGAGTACCATTTACTTACTAAGTATCAACTAGACTGCTCCAAACCCTATGGTTTTCGTTCCTAAGCCTTCAGTAACTTGTTTACCATCGACAGATCACAGGGTAGATTTATACATCTAAGCAAGGCTTAGCTGGCCTAGACTGTCATCAAACTTCTCTCTCAGGAGATGATAGCTTATGTCGCATAAGTGTTAGACTATCAGGTAGTACAGAGATCAGACCATAGACCTTTGATTTATCTCAGATTTATTGTGTAGGCTAGGACTTGTTACCACAGTAACTGGGTGGGACTCTAAAAATATAAGTGTAATTGTTCAAAACCCTCAGAGGTTGTCTTAAGGCTGGCACACTGTTAATTCTTCAGCTCTATTCTGGTTAAAATAAGACTCATGTCAGTTAATCCTGAATTAAGGGACAGGTAAATAAAAACCTGTTGGTGGAAGAAGCTACAAGTCAAAACTCGTGAGTATATAGAATGGGGGAATGTAGTCAAACTGCAATACATCTACTCTAAAGCAAAAACCTTACTGATAGGTTTTAAGGGACAGCTTAAATTAAATGTGACAGCTAATAATTAAGTTATATTGGAAACTGTTCTAATTCCTATCTAAATTCATGAGAGGGTATCTACTTTATACTTAATATCCCAGAGAAAGATTCCAAACCCCTTGGTGATCTACTTTAGGACTTAACAAGTATTTAAGCCATCTCCAAGTTCTTAAAACATAATCTAATCCCTTCATTTATCTCTATTAAAGTTACACCTTTCTTACTCTATAACTGAAGAAGTATTAAGCTGGGTTATTTTGCTACCAAAGTTAACAAGTTCTGTCAGGGATGTCCAACCTTTTGATACTGCAACATGACACTGTCACTACAAATGTGCTGTGCATATTCATAGCTATCCTGGGATAGGTGTGCCATGGGTTGCAGAGTGGACAGACCTGCAAGTCTAGAGAAACAATAACGCTCCCAATACTTTAAGTACAGTACCAAACAGTAAATTAATCCCTCTATAACTAGTATGAAGCAACTAAAGAAATAAGTACAACAAAAACTAAAGGTCAGAAACTGGACTTTAATAATTTTTGCAAAAGGGTCTTTTTCAGATACACAAATATACAACACAAACTGAAGAAAAACATCATTTTCCTTGTGTTTTTTCCTTTTCTTTTTTTTCTTTTAATGTTGTGGTGATGCAGGGGATTGAACTGATGGCCTTGCACATGCTAGGCAAATGCATCCCCAGCCCTTTGAGTACTTATTGTAGTAGCTGTAAGTTTAACATCAAATACATTTTAGAACTTAGGAATCAACCAATTAACACATTTCTGCAGAGTCCACCTTGAGACACCTTTATTAACCTACCCCTGGATATACTCCTGACATATGATTCTTTATCTTATGGTATTTTTGTCTTTTTAAAGTTTTCCTACGAGAAAGTACACATACATACAAATCCAAATAATTCATGACTCCTTTAACAGTACTTAGGAATAAGTGTTAAAGTAGTTTGGTTTTGAAAACCACTGACAAACCATTTTCAGGCTCTCCTTTATGAAGAACATTAAAAACACATCCAAGAAGACCAATTCTTCCCTGGCCTTGGCAGGCAGAGTGTTTCTAAACTGTTCACAAATTCAATAGAGATGGTGTGCTTTAAAGGAGAGTGACACTAGCAATAGAGGTGCCAACTTCAATGCATTCTCTCTAGTTTACATGAAAAGAGATTAGTAACCACTTTCCTCACAGGTATAACCGTGTTTAGCTATCACATCTGCAGCCTCAACTATAAAGAAAGGTTATTACAAGAACCTGACCATGGTACTCTGATCTCAGCCTATCATTGCAGCTGAGGTGATTAATAACAAGGTAACGTTTAGTTGTGGTAGTATCTCACACACTGAAGAACATGCAGTATTCCTGGCCCCTCACTCCAGCCTAGCTATGTTTAATGTCAATACGACAACCCAAAACACACTGTTCTTTTCCATGCCTCATGATGAGAATCATGGTGCTAGATGAACTGAGATTACATGAACTATGACTTCCACAGAAAGCAACTGCCTCATGAGCTTCAGTAAGCACAACTAAAAAAGCATTAGAAACTGTAAAGGTGACTTTTTTCAAACTCATGGTGATCTGAAAGGATTAGATGCAAAAATGCAATACTTATTTATCCCCAAATGCACACGCACATTTATAGGAAAATACTTTTAACAGCCCCTCTCTGCCTCTTTTTTTGAGACAGAAGCTTGCTTTGTAGCCCAGGCTGGCTTGAACTCGGAATCCTCTTGGCTCAGCCTCCCAAGTGCAGGGATGCCAGGTGTGCACCACCAGTGCCTGGTTATCAGGGCATCACCATTAGTGTCAAAGTCCATTCATCCCTTAGAGTAAAATAAGTCAGAGGTGCTGGGCCCTCATACTGGTGCTCCTGGAAACTGCTGCTGTCTTTGTTCCAAAACCTGCTGATTTAATAGCTGCTGCTGTTTCTGTAGAAACTGGACAACTTCTGGACTTCTTAGTAATGACTTAAAGAGAGGGAAAATGGATTATTAGTAGAATTATCATATTTTTGTTTGCTTGTTTGAGATCAGGTCTGCTTTTAAGTCAAGGCAGCACCCCTGGCCTGAGTCTTTCAAGTGGTGGGATGTTGTAACAAAGTATCAAACACAGTATCGCTCTTTTGCATCTGTTGCCCCATTACTCCCATGTCACTTTGCAGTTTAATTTTCAGCACTGTCTTTGTCTACATATTTATGTTGTAAAGTTTAAATCTCTTCTTCATGATTCCTTGATATGATAAAACCTCACTGTGGAATTTTGAGATAAAATCTAAATTCATTTTTAAAAAAAATTTCTAATATTCTACCAAAAACTTATATATTAAGTATGGTTTAAATTCTTTCTTTCCTTCAAATTACTATTCAAATATTCCAGTATTTATCAAACAATTACTCCTTTCCTGATTGATTTATGATCATTTCTATCAGTTTTATATCAGAGACCATTATTAAATATTAGTAATTATATTTCAATAAAATACAGTACTATTTCACATATTTAGAGTCTGTTTTAAAATCTCATCTTGCGCAAAGGTTAGTTAGTGAAGCAACAGGGATCAGGGTGCTTCTGCTGCAGTCCTGGGGGAGAGAGGGCATCAGTGTAGTGAACAACTTTTAAAGTCTTACAAAGGGAAACCAGTTCCATTGAGAACAAGAACCAGCAGTTCTTTCTAACAGGTCTGCAATTACTTTATGAGAAAACACTTACCAGTCTTTTCTGATTTAACACTTGTTCTAAAAGAGTAGGCCTTGCAGGGCGATCCCCAAAAGATCCTGTTCTTTGCTTGACAATGGAGAGTATGTTGTCTGTACTTTCCTGGCAACAATGAAAGGACATTTAACATTATATTGTAATCCATTACAACAGGCAATTCAGTTATAATGAACATGTCTTTGATTTTCTTCCTTTTATTCAGTTTCTGTGAAACTTAGGAGAGCCTTTTGGTAAGTCATAGGCAGCATGCTGGCAATTTATTCAAAGTAAGACTCCTCTTCCCTGCAGGCTTTCCAACCTGGGATTCTTTAGTCTCCTATAAGGTCTCAAATCAAATATACTGGGCAGAGGGGAAATTACCTTTAAGCTCTTTTCAATATTCAATACAATGGCAAGTGAAACCAAATTCTCCTCACACAGAACAATTTAAGTCAAAATAGTCTGCCCGCTTTTGGACAAAATAAATGAATTCAGAGGCAATCTACTGCTACTGAGATACTGGATTTACACCTGATTCACACCCCCACGGAGGGAGAGGCAGTAAAATACTGCTCACAGAAGCAAACAATGCAGCTTTCTGAGTAAACTGGCTGGAGGGGCTGGAATTCACAGTACAGAGCAAACAGGCACATTCTGCAATAGCAACCTTATCCTGAGACATCAACTCCCATAAAAAATTAGCAGTGCTTACCCCCAAATATGAAAGAACCTAAATATTTACCTTTTCCTTATATAACATGTTGCTGAAGTTAAAGGAAACATTCTGTCCCTAATAAAACCACAACATGACAATGTAAACTGGGAGAAACCTGGCTAAGGGTTGACTCTAGGGCCTGGCACATGCAAAGAACTTTCTGTACTTAAACAAAAATGCTTTACCAAGAGGCCAGACATTACTTGAATTTAGTAGTGTTATCTTTATTTGGTAATATTATCTTTTCTTGGTCTTTTCCTTTTATCTGCTGGCTCCTGAATATCCCTTTCCCTTCATTATGAGATATTAGAAAACCTCGGTTATAAAAATCTTCCATGCATACCTGTTTTACTCTAAAAGCATTACAAACTATAAAGAGAATTCTAATATCACAGAAAGCAAAGACAATTCTTCTAACTCTCCCCAGTTACCCTTATTTATAGGACTGTTTGGTTTATGTGCGGAATACGTAATATTATGTGGATGGTAATACCACAAAATCAAAGAGGCTTGTAGTAGAAACAACTTTGAGTCGTTCAGGCCAAACTTCCACAAATGTAAGGAGTCTTTCCACTTTTTAGGGATTCTTTTTCACTTTAAACAGCTCCAACACACAGGTGGGTTTTTCTGAGTTTGAGCGGAATTGCACACCAATTAAAATCTTCACCTAACGAAAATATATCTGAAGAAATACTGCTTGGGCCAACAGATGAAGGAGCCGAAACTTAAGCGAGGCGAATAAGGGGCCCAAGTCCACACAGCTAGCAGCAGAATCCCAAATGCAGTGCACACTGCCTTTTACCCTCCCATGGGATTCACATCAAGCGACCCCAAAGTGCTCTGTGACTCACCACCCCACCAACAAGCCAACTTTCCCGGGGGAGGGATGGTTAAGAAAAGGATGGGAGCACTAAAGTTACTTACAACTAAGAACCGGGTATGTAAACATGCAGGATGTCACAGGGTAGATAGACTAGGTAGGGGTTACTGACAAGAGGGGCAGATCACCTCCAAAGTACCAATGCCAGCTGGGGGTCCCGCTGCCTGCTCACCTGAGTGGAAGATGACCCTTCCCCTTACATTCGTGAAGACTGGGGTTGCACCCACCTGCCCTGGCCCGGGGCCCGAGGCGCATACCTCCAGCTTGACGTTGCCCGTGCTGGCCGCCGAGGCGCCGCCAGAGCCCAGGGCCTGGTCGCTCTTCTTCTTCTTGTACTTGTCCTTGTACATCTTGTTGCGGTGCTTCTTGCACATCCAGGGCTTGCGCTGCTTGGCCACCTGGCTGGTGGTTTCGCGGCAGCCCTGGTAGGTGCAGGTCTTGGCGCCCCGCCTGCGCGTCCCGCCGCCGCCGCCCTCCGCACCCTCGTCCTCCAGCTCCTCGGGGCTGGCCGCACTCTCGCCGCCGCCCGCGGGGTCCGATGTGTCCAGCAGGTCGGCGTCGTCGTCCCCTGCCTCGTCCTCGGCGTCCGCCGCTGCCGCCGCCTCGCTCCCCGCCGGGCCGGGCCTTGGAGCGCCGTCCGCCGCGGCCTCGTCCTGCCGCATCACCAGCACTGTCACCGGAGGGGCCGACTCGGGACCAGCGGCGCCCGGCCCCGAGCCCTCGGACGCAGCCTGGGCCTCCGTGTTGCCGCCAGAGCTCCGGGTCCGCCGCTGCGGCCCGTCAGCCCCTGAGGAATACAGCCGTACCTCACAAACCCCCTGCTAGGAGTCCTGGAGCCACCCTGCCATACGCCACCGCCACACTGCGCCTACGCGCCGGTCTGCCGGCCAAGGGTTCAGGGCTCCGTGGGCGGGGCCGAGCCGCTGCCAGAAAGCACAGACTGCGCCTGCGCGCTAGCGTCCTCTTGAGTGCCGTTTGAAGCCGGTGGCGGGGTGAAGCGGCCGGGCGGGCACCGACTTGCGCCTGCGCGGCGGCCTTCCGCTAGAGGGCGCTAGGTTCTTGCAGACAAGAACCCTCCCCCAACTCCTCCTCTCCCCCGACGGCGTCGGGCTGAGCGGATGCCAGAAGCACTGACTGCGCCTGCGCAGCTGTAGAAATCTGGTGAGCGGATCCTAGGAGGCCTGCGCCTGCGCAACTGCCGCCGGCTCCGGTCAGGGTTTCCGAGCCTGGTCCTGAGCGTCTGCGCGCTGCACTTAAGGCTCCCTCAAAGCTCGGAGGGCGGGAGTCGGAGGCGGCTGTCCCAGGTACCTGCGGGGCACCAGGAGACACTTTCTGCCTGCACCCGCACCCGCCCTCGCCAGTCTGGGCAAAGAACTCTCCTGGAACGTCTCTGGTTCCAGAGAGACCCGAGGAGGAGCTGGAGAAACAGCTGGAGGAGGAAACGATTTGGCTTACGCATCCCAGTCAAGCCCCATCCTGAAACAAGTGGGGAATACAGAGGAACGCTTGCTCCCAGGCTCAAGTCCAGCCAGCTTTGCTCTCCAGTCCTGACCCTCCTGTCTTTTTCTGACACATTCCCAGTAGTGGGATTGCTGGATCCTAAGACAGTTCTGTTTCTCTTTTCCCCACAAGCTACACACTGACTTCTCCACACCCCCACCACTGTTCGTTATCTTGTTTCTGACAAGAACCACGGTTCCCACTGGGAGGAGATAACTCAGATTTTGATTTGGGCTTCCTTCCAGATTAGTGATGTATATTTTTACACACACTTATTGACCCTTTGTATGCTTTCCTTTATGAAATAATTATATAGCCCATTTCAACTGGATTATTAGGTAGTTTGTTTTTTATTTTATTTATATCTTCATTATATTTATTTGAATTTAAGTATTCTGGATGTTAACTACCATCAGATATAGTTTGCAAATATTTTCTCCCATTCTAGAGATTGCCTTTTCTAAGCCGAAGCTTTTTAGTTTGGTACCCATCCATTTTTTCTTTCTTTTCTCTCTTAATTTCTTATGTTTTTGGGGTGTCTTAGCGAAATAGATCTTTGTCTATTCCAACGACTGGAAACATTTACCCTATTTTTATTTCTAGTGGTTCATAGTTTTAGATCTTACATTTCAAACTTCAATCCCTTTTGTGTTGATTTTTGTAAAGAGTGGGGTTTAATTTAAGTCTTTTCTTTTTAATATTGACAAACCGACAATGAAATTTATTTAAGAATGAGCACAATGTAAAAATATGCTTATATTATAAAAAATTGTGTATTTGGCTTGTCTTCTGCATGCAGCTATCCAATTTTCCTAGGGCTACTTATTGAAGTATGTCCTAAATTCATAGGTTTATTTCTAGGTTCACTATTCTCTTCCATTGACCTTATATACCTGTTTTATGCCAATGTTCATTAATCCCTCCTGCCCCCAGGGTGTCTCTGTGTAGCCCTGCTGGTCCTAGAACTCTATGTAAATAAGGCTGTCTTTGAACTCACAGAGATCTGCTTGCTTCTGCCTCCAGAGTGAAGGGATTAAAGACATGTACCACCACACTTGGTGATATTACATATTCCCTTGATTATTACAGCCTTGAAGTGTATTTTTTTATGGTGTAATTTAATTTTAGGCTTTTCTTTTTCGTTCATCAAATATTGTTTCTAGTATTTTGATAAAGACTGTATTGAATCTACAATTAGTTTTGGGCAGTGTGAACATTAAAATAATATTGATTTTTTGCAATCCACTAATGTGGGATGACTTCCCATTTGTTTGTGTCTGTCCCCTCCTAAATTTATTTTAGATGTGTTTATAGTTTTTGTTGAAGAAATTTCTCCTGGCTTTGCAAAAATTTTGTTTTATACCTATTATAAATTATTTTCTTGATTGGTATATATCAATCCTACCAAGTTTGAATGTTGTATTCTGAAATTTTGCTGAATTTGTATCTTTAATAGTTTGGGACTACTTTCTACATATAAGATCATTCCAGATTATTCAACCCACAAATAGTGACTGTTTAACTTCCTTCTTCACAATTTTATACCCTTTATTTGTTTTTCTTTCTTCATTGCCCTGTTTAGGATTTTCAGTACGGTGTTGAATATACATGGTGAAAGTGGGTGTCCTTATCTTGTTTCAAATCTTAGGAAGCTTTTGGTTTTCCCCCTACTAAAATATGTTAGTTACTTATTTGCCATGATCTTTATTACATTGGGTTTTTTTCATACTATATGTTGGTTTAGAAATTTTATAATGAAGGGATATTGAATTTTATCAAATACCCTTTTCACATCTGCTATGGAATAATCCTCTTGTACACTGTAAAGATTTCTAACTCAAATAGGTTTAATAAAATTCAAATTGGCCAGTAGCCAGGTAGGAAGTATAGGTAGGATGATAGGAAGGAGAAGGGCAGGGTGAGGGGTCACCACGCAGATGCAGAGGGAGCAGGAGATGAATGTACCATGCTAATAAAGGTAATACCATGGGGCAGAACATAAATAAGGGATATGGGTTTAATGTAAAATGTAAGAACTAGTTAGTAATAAGCCTGAGCTATTAGCTGAGCATTTATTTATTTATTTATTTTAATTTATTTTATATAACAAAGTCCATTTAAATGAATTTGGGAATTTGGGCGTTGTTCTTTCCAAACTACTTCCTGCTGGTAAGGGGCGCTGTCATGGGGGATTCGAAGAAGATTCAGAAATCCTGGTTGTAGTCTGTAAGGCTGCTTTGTCCAGCTGTTTGAATGTAGGATCACCTTGTACTCTGTTTCAGGAGTTCTGGCTTGATCAAACCACATTAGTCTGGAAGGAATCCACATCTTTTCATTTTCTGTGGAAACAAAAATAGAAATACTTTTCCCCAGTAACTTGTCCTTCAACTTAAATTTTGGAGTCAAAGCATTTTTTTTTTAAAATTTATTATTTTACATGTCGATCCCAGTTCCCTCTCCCTCCCTCCCTCCCTCTCTCCTTCCCTCCCTTTTACTCTCTCTGCCCTCTCAAATGCACTCTAACCAACCTCCCTTCTCATCCCCCCCCCAATTCCATATGTAGGGGAATGCCATCCAGTTGGGGTCATGTAGATCTGACAGGTCATGTGAAGTAGGGACTAGGGCTTCTCTCCTGTCTCTAGATTAAGGCAGTTATCCCTCCATGGGGGATGTGTTACCAAGGTCCTTTTGTGCACCAGGGATACATCCTGGCTCCACTGTCTGAGGTCCCTTAGACTGCTCAGTCCTTCTGGCTGAGACCCATATTCAGGGGGGCCTGAGTCAGTCCCATGCTGGCTTCCCAGCTATCAGTCTAGTGGCCTTTAGCTCCTCCTCGTTCAGGTAAGCTGTCTGTATGTGTTTCTGCCGCATGGTCTTGTCCTCTCCATCTGCATCTGGGTTCTAGTTCGACTCAGTGTTTATGCATGAGTGTTTGATCCTGTTTCCAACAGGCATTAGTTGAGGGCTACATGGATAAGTTAGTTGTTGATCTCACTCTCCAGGAAGGGCATTTATGATAGCCTTTCCACAGAAGCTCAAATTGTTAGTTGGGAGCAGTCTTGTAGTTCTCTAGACCTTACTTTGTGTTCAATTTTATCTTCAAGCCAATATTGGCTCCCTCTTTTATGTTCTCTCTCTGTGTCTCTGTCTTTCTCTCTCTCTTTCCTGTTTTCTATTCCTAACCAGGCTCAATCTTCCTGGTCGCACATGTTTTCCTTTCCTCCCCCTCGTTTTCTCCTACTTCTCTCTCCATTTGCTACCCCCCCACTTCCCCTGAGCTCTGGGGGACTTGTTCCTTCCCCCTTCTGTGAGGGACTTTATATGAATCTCTTAGAATACACCTTATATCCTAGTTCCTCTGGTGGTGTGAATTATAGGCTGGTGATCCTTTACTCTAGATCTAAAATCCATATATGAGCCAGTACATACCATGTTCCTCTTTTTGTGACTGGGTTACCTCATTCAGGATGGTTTCTTCTAGTTCTATCCACTTGCCTGAGAATTTCAAGATTCCATTATTTTTTTTTCTGCAGAGTAGTATTCCATTGTGTAGATGTGCCACATCTTCTTTATCCATTCTTCAGTTGAGGGGCATCTAGGTTGCTTCCAGGTTCTTGCTATTACAAATTATGCTGCTATGAACATAGTTGAACAGATGTCTTTGTTGCATGGATGTGAATCCTTTGGGTATATGCCTAAGAGGGGAATTGCCGGGTCCTGTGGTAAACTAATTCCCATTTTCCTGAGGAAATGCTATACTGATCTCCAAAATGGCTGTATGAGTTTGCACTCCCACCAGCAGTGGAGGAGTGTTCCCCTTTCTCCACATCCTCTCCAACATAAGTCATCATTGGTGTTTCTAATTTTAGCCATTCTGGCAGGGGTAAGATGGTATCTCAAAGTTATTTTGATTTGCATTTCCCTGATAGCTAAGGATGTGGAGCATTTTCTTAAGTGTCTTTCAGCCTTTTTGATTTCCTCTATTGAGAATTCTTTCTTCAGTTCTGTACCCCATTTTTTAATAGGTTTATTTGGTGTTTTGTTGACTAGTTTCTTGAGTTCTTTGTATATTTTGGAGATCAGCCCTTTGTTGGATATAGGATTTGTGAAAATCTTTTCCCAGTCTGTGGGCTGCCATTTGTTCTTGTCCACTGTGTCCTTTGCCTTACAGAAGCTTCTAAGTTTGAAGAGGTCCCATTTATTAATTGTTGCTCTCAGTGTCTGTGCCCCTGAAGTTATGTTCAGGAAGCGGTTTCCTATACCAATTTGTTCAAGGGTACCTCCTACTTTCTCTTCTAAGAGGTTCAATGTGGCTGGATTGATG